TACAACCCATCGGTGCCAGTGGCTTGCGCAATTGCCGCTTCTTCTCTGGTTGCAAGGGGCCTTTCTCTTGCGCCTCGGCAACCGCCTTCGTGATCAGATCGCGCCATGCACGCCGATCAACTGCCTTCGATTCCCAACATCTGAAATCAACATTAGAACGTGAGAGGCTCGCTTTGATCATGTGCTGGTAACGTAACTTCGGGTTTCCCAAAATACTACTTCCCAATACTCAGCTGACCATATAATAGTTGTTTCGGTATCTGCGTCGAATCCATAGGCCACACATGACCGAGTCACTTTAAGTGTCTCAGCAAAAGTATACAGTGCGCTGCATACATTCCACCTCGGCGCGGCACCTCCGTGGCTGCAACTCTGTCGCATCAACCCATATGCAGAATCCGTCGCAGACACTGTTGATGAAATAGCTCGAGATATCTCACATCTTGCCGGTACATCGTCCACGCTTCGCTGCTGTATGGAAGAACGGATAGCGCCATGTATTTATACACCATCAGCTTTGTGCCGACGGTAAGCTGGTGGCTGTTACACACTCGGGTATCAAGCTTCCCAAATGCTGCTGCTGCCTTCGAGATACGGATACAAGCCTTCCTATGAAGCTGCTGGTTAGTCAACATCACACTCCCAAGGTAGCAGAAGTGCGAGGTGGCTTCTAATACTTCAGCATCAATGCTCATTTGCGGCAATATTAAAGGTTGCACCTCCGGTAAGGTCTGAAAGAGATAGGTTTGCTTGTTTTGATGGGAGCCCGAATTTGGACGTTGTCGAAGCTAGGGCATTAGTCATGTGCTTCAGCTCATCCGCACTGTGTGCAAACAGCGCACAGTCGTCAGCAACCTACGGATAGTTGTCTTACAGACTAGGGTTCTCGCACGGGAACGACGGATGTTCAGCAACCCACCATCAATATGGTGCTCCACACGTACACCGTAAGTACAGGCGGCATCGAAAGCACAAGACGTCATTGCATGCAGATAAATATTAAACAGGGCAGGAGCTAAGACACAGCCTTGCTTCACACCAGTGACAACTGCGAAATCATCCGAGGTCTCTCCACCCAGCTGCACCCTCGCCCGCACAACAATGTGCAGACATTCAATTAAACTGACAAACTTACTCGGGAAGCTAAACTTAACCAACACCAATCACAGTGCCTCGCGGTTCACCGTATCAAATGCTTTGGTGAAATCAACAAAAAGCGAGTACAATGGCTGGTGTCGTTCTCTGCACTTCTCCTGCAACTGACGAGCCGCAAACACCATATATATAGTGTTGCGACCCGAACGGAATCCGCACTGCTCTTCCGCCACGTTGGATTTCACAACCTGACTGAGCAAGATTTGAGCAAGATACGGGAAATCATCTTGCCCACACATTGCAGCAAGTTGATGCCGTGACAATTTGTGCAACATTGTTCGCTTCCTTTGCCGTTGCACAGTGGTAACACAAATGCATCCATCTGCTCAGGAGGCATCTCGTCCTCAATCCACATGCACCAAGTGATGAAGCGCATTCACCAACGTGGGTCCGCCGTGCTTCAATACTTCAGGCGGGATCCCGTCAGCTCCGGCACACTTGCCGTTTCGCAGCTGAGCAAGTGCTCTCTGCGTCTCATCCAGTGTCGACTTGTCCGCCAGACTCGTCTTCACATCGTGCTGCTTCAGGCAGTTCAAAGTAGTCCAGTCGATCTTTGAACGGTTGTTCAAGAGACAGTCAAAGTGTTTTCGCCCGATCTGCATTATGTCTGCAGTCTGTGTGCAGGTAGCGCCTGAACTACCATCAATCAGTGTCCTCAGCGGCTCCAACCTCGGTGCATATACCGCCTTCAAGGAGTCAAAGAATTCCTTGTGTTGACGACGTTCGGCGTAGCTTACCATCTGCTTCGTCTTCTCCGTCCATCATGCATGTTTTATGCGACGGAGCTCTCAGGTGAGTCGCCGTCGAAGTTTGCGAAACTGACTCCTCTGTACCAAGTCACTGGGGTCCGCCACATGTGCAGCAAATGCTGCATTCTTCTCCGACACCAATGCACCGATCGTCGCATTGTTCTCATCAAATCAATCAAACCGCTTACGGTTTGCGCGCCCCATGGTCTCCTCAGCAGCAGCTATCACCTGATCGCGAATGTGGTGCCACAGGTCGCCCACTGTGTCTATGCATTCCACATCACACACTCGTGCAACGATCGCCTTCTCCAACTCAGTACGTTTCGCTACGGTACCGAGGGAGAAAATGTTAACTTGACGCCTATTCACAGCGGGTGCTATACATGGATTTACGAAAATATATGTAAAGTTTGGTTCGAACCAATTTGTGCTAAGCGTAACACTCTGCTTCACGCAGTACACGTGTCATGCGCACTTCACACATATCACGCTGACGTACGATGACACAGTCGAGCAGGTGAGCGTGACCACTCCGTGGGCGCATCCAAGTTACTATATCATTCGCACTCAGTGCAAACCGAGTGTTCGTGATCGTCAGGCCATGAGTGGCACACAGTGAGAGCAGCCTGTCACCGTTCACATTCGCTGAACCAATGCCATGCGCACCGATAACATCTGTCCACGCTGATGCATCATGCCCAACGCGCGCGTTGAAATCACCCAGCAGAAATAGTCGGTCGCTCCTCGGCACAGACCGTATCACGGAGGATAGCTCAGTGTAGAATTGATCACGCATGTCATCAGGATAACACATAGTCGGACCGTATATGCTTATAAAACTGGCAAACTTACCACTTCCGAGTCATAGGCGTACAGCCATCAGTCGCGCGCTGATGCCTGTTGGTTCACCCACGAGGTGGTCCTGGAGGCGATCGGATATTGCAAATCTGGCCCCATGATTACCTGGTGCTAAGGCACCCAGTAGAATGTGTAACCGGCACCTGCTTCATGCAACCTATCTTGCTCAGAGAGCCGCGTATCACTGAGTACCATAATATCGATGTGGTAGCGCGCCAGCTCCATCGCGACGAATGCAGTGCGTTGCTCGGGGCGCTCATTCGAGTTCCGGTCCAGTAATGTGCGCACGTTCCAGCACCCGATGCTGAGCGTTTTGCGCGCAGGCATACGATTGCATTGACGGGTAATCGGACTCGTGGTGGTTGTGCTTCAGAGGTTCGCTTAAGGGACTCCACCCGGAGACTTTGGCTCAATAGCCTGACCCGCAATGCAGTGGGTGGTTTTGAGGTTTGCTTGAGGGACTCCGCCCGGAGCCTTTGGCTCAATAGCCTGATCCACAAGGCAGTGGGGAGCATATCCAGCTCTGGAATGTGGTTGCAGAGACAGATGGGGATCTGCTTGAGGGCCGTCACACGCAGCCTTTGAGGTACTGGTACGATTCATACATGTTTTGCGACCGTAGTAGGATACACCTGCGACCACTGTCAGACGTAGGTGAGTTTTGGCACGTTTACACCAATTTAATAAGGGGCGGGCGGGAGCAAACCATTAAACAACCGGTGATGCCGTCCTACCGTCAGAGACAATGCGTGGCGCTCGTGCCTTACGCCAATCGAGATGTGAGCTTATAACCCGTAGACCTGTTGTCTCCCATGGTTAGGTTTTACGGGAGGAGGACCCTAGACCCTTTCCTAACTTCCGAAGAGGATGGACTAGGATACTGGCGGTGCGCCCACACCTGACAGAAGAACGACTCGGGTCCTCTGCTAAAGCCTTCGGTTCAACGTACACCCGAAAGGCAGCGGATCTAGCAAATAGTTTACTAACTTATGCTGATTGTTGTCCTGGATCATAGCAGGGAGAAGGGTGTAACCCAACTCCCACCCAGCGGTCGCCACGAGGAAGCGCCCAGGACAAGAGCCCATGGCACAACAGTAGCAGCAAAGGGGTAGACCATCTGTCAGGATCTAGCCACCACCAGCCTCGGAGCACCATAGGCTCTCCCGCCATATATATATATATATATATATATATATATATATATCATGTGATTTTGAGGGGCAACACTTCTCTTCTCAACGTCATGAGGTAGCCCTGACCGGATATGGGGGTTTAATGTTACGGCACATCTACGTATATAGTTGGAACTAACTTTACTTTGTCTTATTGGCATGTACTGCAAAGTTATTGTAGCATTATTCTAAGTTGTTACTAAACCCATCAGCTTGGACGATAGCTATAAATATTTGTGAAAGTAACTTATCGCCTCTTTTCTTTGTTTACCAAAGCAAGAGCGCTACTGGTCTGCCTACTGGCGCGCGCGTGGTGGGAAGCTCGTTAGGTGAACGCCTTTGTCCTCGTTGGTGACGGAAGTCACACGATTGCACCTAATTTAAACAAGCAGTTCACTTTTGACGTGTCCTAACACCACAAATCAATGGACGAGTAAGCATAAACTGCTTATCTATTCTTCGAAGGAGATCATTACTTATATTTTTATCCATCTGAACCTTTCAAATACATGTCCACCTGATAATCAGCAATGGATATTTATTCTGAACTGTCCCAGATTTCATCCTGGGTTCCCGGTTTCGGATATCATCATACCTGGCTACCTCCGGTACGTTCTGCTTTTACCTCACAGCTTCAGCAGATGTGGGAGTCAATCATATTCTTCATTGTTTTGTTACTACCGCTGCTACTGTTCACATTGTGTAGGCGCGTGAAGATCCAAAGTATTTACGTTTTTTATCAACTTGCTCAGTTAGCACGAAACCTAGTTTTCAGACGGTTCCACGTTTTCGTAAACGGGACAAGCTACGTTACTATGCAGCGCACTTCACTCGCAGATTTAGTCTATTCACGGAAAGGTTGAACACCATCAAATCTCCTGAAACGAGGCGACAGCTGATCATTGCATTTGTTCGGAGGTAATTCACTATTTTATACTTGAACCTCAGAATTTTCAACATTCCAGATGAACTGAATGCGGCGACATTGAATCTTTCGAGGTTACCGGAGTCGTTTTATGAGCCAGATGATGACGAGGACTCATCCCTTCCTGACGATTTGAGATTGATGATCAATTCTATACGAGTCTTTGGTCACTTGGAAAGGTCTTTTTTCATCGAATTCTGCAAGTTTATTGAACGTATCAAGCTTTCCAAGGGCGAATATCTTTTTCGCGTTAATGACCCTGATGACAATGTCTATGTTGTTCACTCAGGGATGATTCAAGTGTGCGTAATGGAAACTGTAAGTTGATTCTGAATCAACTCCTGCTGCACTCCATGTGGTAAACTTTACTGCACCGTTTGTTTCACCCACTTGCATTTCTTATATATGATGGGACTGCCCCTGGAAGAAGTTAGCTTGTTTAGTGTTTGTTGTCGGTTCTGACATCGCAACAGACCGCATGATAAAATCACAACGATTTTAACTTGACTAATCTGTTCATATACTTCTCCATTGCGTATCATGAAGTGTATTATTCCTACGTTGTTTTGGTTTGTGTGAATTCGTGGGACCCTCACAGGGTGACGGCGAAATTTCATAAGCGAATAAGCCTTGTCATTGTCGCGATCATGCATGTTAGTTGGATTTGGTAAATACCCTAGCTCTTGTACTGCAATACAATACACTTACTTTGTCACAAAGGTAACAAAACAAAATGAAAGGAAGGATATCATGCTCCGTTTTTATTGTGCGTCATTAATGATATCGTTGTTGGTGGGAAGAGGACAGAGGAGCTCACTACGCAGTCATTGAGGACGCATCGTTGCCATGTCGATAAGCGTGTCCAACCGAACGTGCTCATTATCCATCACCTTTCTCTACTACCATGGAAAAATTCACATCTTTGGCACCATAGAGTCAAACTAGCCTCATGGTGAGAAACAAGCTATATGACCAAAACAAGGCTTTTATACGGTATTCTGTTTTTACCCCACTGTAGATGAAGTGTTACTGTTGGTATTTGTCGCACAGTTTCGTGGTATGCTCTTTAGACACAAACCTATTGCATTCCTTGCAGGCTAGTGTTTTTTGTCATGTGATCTAGGAATATTGAATACTCTTATGAAGCAACGAGAAAAGACAGCTCTGTGTAGCTGCATCTGAAATTCATTAGATACAATGACCGATTATGTTAGTGAGCCTTCTCCATACTTGATGTCGGCAAAGTGTTTGTCCAAGGGTTTTTTGAGTTTAGACGCCGACTTTACTTCGACTACGTGCGGCGGCAAGTCGTTCCATAAACTGAATACTGTATACTATATATATATTTGCAAAAGTCTACGAATAGACATAATGCCATCAGAAACCATGGGATTCAAACGAAAGTACAGAAATATTAAAATAAAACACAACACAACAATGTCCATGGTTTCCTCAGAGGGCGAGATACTACCCGGTTGCCCAAGCCGAAGTAGGATGTTGACTTAGGGGACACCACCCCGAGCCTTTGGCTGAATAGCCTGTCTGCAAGGCAGCGCAGCGAATTCAGGGAATCGCGCCCATTGGGAGCCGGTGACTGATTGCTCAGTTCATACGCCTTTCGTTTGTTCCTTTGTCAAACAGGGGCCGAATGCTCCCCAGAAGTACAGCATGACGTTGCTGGAATACAATGCTTCGCCAGGATGAAGCAAGAGGCAGTGACTTTATTTAGTGGCGAGTCACGTCCGCCACGTCACAGTGTTGTTAAACGGACATATGTGGCTTTTTATAGGGAGAACGTTTGCCAGGCGAAAACCCACCACGTCCTGGAACACTGCCGCCGAACGATTTGCTGGAACGGGAAAATCCCGAACCACCCAGCTGGCACCACGAGGAGGTTGTTCGGCAAGCCAGCCAAGTAGCCAAGTAACAAGTAGCTATTTGCATCGGTACAACTCCATCAAATTTGATCAAAAATTATCTACAAACTGTTAGCACTGTGATCGTTTTCTAAGTTCTCACGTGATATCGTGAAAAACGTCTAACTCACAAAAACATGGGACTCACAAATATGAGATGTCAGTGGGTAATCGTTCTCGGTATGTAACTGGATACATGCACATTTAACAGTTTTGAACTGCTTAACGTGGCCTAAAGACTTGAAGAAATTGACTAAGAGACTTTATCAAGCGAGTGTGTGCGGTCTTCCTAGTTGGCGCTCCGGGATGTGTCATACCGATGGTTTAACACCCTTTGTGACATGACGCAATCGCACAGTGGCGCTCCTGTATTCGGTTTCTTGCACCTAGCTGTTAGTTTTCATTCCATCCAAATTAGTTTTACGCATCCCTTTCTTGACTCCATTTTATTTTTTCTTTAGGCGATCAACCACATTTTTGAGATAGATTCGTTGCAGTTCCATTCGTCCAGCGAGCCACAATACATCTATAAAAGCGCCAAAACGAAACTAAACAGCCGCTTTTTTCTTATCCATGCTCGTCACTAGCGCGCATCCGCCAGATCCTGCCAGATCCGAACCTATAACTTTACTCTGATGAGTCAGCGTTTTATGTCGCTGAAACGAAGGTAATGGCGACGGACCGCCATGACGCATTTCTAACCGATATAGCGCGGCTATTTCTCCACGTTCATGCATGCTATAAACGTAGAGAGGGCAAGGCTGGATCCCAGAGCTTTGATTACCTTAGCAAGCGGCCACCAATTGATGTGGCACGTAAGCTTCTAAAGCCATCACTGATTATTAGCAACTAGCGGAGTGGTTCATCGTGTTTATTTAGAAGATTCGTCTCAGCTAGGCTCCGACAGAGGCGAGCAGCGTTTCTCTACTGACCTCATTTCGTTAGTTGTCCGGGCATCAAGTGGTCGCAACTGGGTTCTCTGTACATCGATGCTCGCCGGACCATGGAGATGTTCTATTGAATTGAATAGGCTCGTGCTTTTGCTTAATAAATAGCAATTTATACTTGTAACTGCTTCTCTTTTCCAGTGACTTATCTTGTTTTATTCCCTGGATCCAGCGATCCTTGAGTTCTTTTGGAGCACTCAAGTCAAGTCAATAAATTGTTTCATGTACCTGGGACAGGACATCCTCAACAACACACTCGCTGTCGGTATTACGAATCAGTACTATTAAAAACGGCCTGATAAAAATAAGGACGGCGGATCGGCTTTTTATTTCTATAACAATAGAGTTAGGTTCCAGCAAATATAGCTCGTCAGTTAGAAAATCACTGACGAGCTGTGTGCGGATGCATCTCAGCTTCTACTTCTGCCTTGGTCAAGAAGCATTCACATAATGCGTTATGAAGGGTGGCTTGCGTTGCGCTAGCTTTTTACTAGAACTGATTTATAGACAAAATAAGGTTATCTAGAACAGGCGTCGAACGCCGCTACCTCGAGGTAAATGTCCTAATAACCTAATATTTATTTTAGATCTTTAGTCAGAGGATCAGAGAAAAATCGCGGGCGAGCAGCACGTCCATTGGGGAAGCACAAGCAAATAGGTATCAAATCACGAAAGACAGAGTTGGCTCTGAGCATGGAAATGTAGAACGACAACCTTCTGACTTTTGAATCTTTTATTTACATGTAACGTTCAGGATAAATCATATTTTATTATTACACCACGCCCTTGACACAAAAGCTTCAGGTCAAGTGAACTAGTACAGATTTGACTTGGCAATTAGAATAATGATAGCGTGAGATAACCTGAGACAGTGGAAAATATGCGGTTAAAGTTTCAAAACGCTAAGAGCTCAATCTGATGGAACAATCGCCACAGAACTATCCAAATTGATCCGTGTAATGGGCCATTAACATGTGAGGCAGTGATTATGTTGCTCTGGGCTTTAATAATGGAATTCGACGTTTTCCCTCCAATCTGAGTCCGTCCGCCAAAGGCGATCAGACTGACCAGGTTAAGATAGCCCGCCACGCGTTCGATACTTCCCCACCGTCTGTTCTGTTTACGCAATTAATGGTCTTGGCGATTTCCAGTGCACCAGCAATTAATCTTTGGCTTGTCGTTCTTGCTCCTCTCCTATTGATCGCTACATTGTCCCAGGAGATTGCGTGTCCTGAGTCTAGACGCATGCACCGCTACCGCCGAATCCTTTAGTAAGGCGTGGTACTCAGGCTCATTTCTTGGTGGACCTGAAACGTACTTTTTGTCTTCTGCTATACTAGTGCGTAGTTCTATCGTTGTTTGGCCTATGTACACTTTTGCACAGTCCCTGCAGCTAATTTTATAGACGCAATTGGTCATCCTATTTTTGGAAGTGGATCCTTCAAGCGCACAAATGCTAAATTGGGCGTTTGACCTCTGGAAAATCGCTTATCCTTTCCTTGTTTACTACCCGTCTGATCGCTCCCAATTCAACTGTTGGACTCACAGTGGTCCTCCCTTGAGCGGTAGACTCGAAGACCCGCCTCCCAGCTGCAGAGAGCCAACCGCCGGAACTATACCCTCTTCGGAGCAGTTACAATCTAAACAGCAGATTTCCTCACGTCCCTCTTAACTAAACCCTCCTTTGTCTTCACAATCAGTGTCCTGACGAGCCCATCTTCCGAGGTGACGCAGCTTTCAACTATGCCTAAAGAACACGTACTGCGCGATGGCTTCAAAAGCGACTAAAACTACGTCTCTTGGCCTAAAATTCCGACGCGGATATAGCCATTTCTGTCTAGATTGCAACAGCGACAGATATTCTCTACTTCATCTTTTCCAAAACAGGGCAGTTAGTTAATGGACTTGCCGGCAACAACGATTGTATGCATCGGGTAAAGGCTCAGCCAATTAGCCCGATGCGCCGGGTCGAAATATCAACAAATCCTTCGGAGTTAGAGCAGGGCCTCTTCAACACGCAAGGCCTCTTCACACAATACTTGTTGCGTAGTGACTGACAGTAAAACTCCTCTGACTGATCGCACAATACGTTCCCACACTCCACCCCTATGGCTGTCCGCCGGTGGGTTAAAATGCCACTTCACGCTGAGGCATAGCAGTTTAACTATGATTCGCTTTTATGACCACTCCTTCGTGGCGGCCCTCAGTTCCGCAACCGCTCCCACAAAATTGCCTCCGTTGTCACTAAATATTTCAGAATGGGTACCTCTGCGGGCAACGAATCGCATCAAAGCCATGATAAAGGAGTCGGTATTCAAGATACTGGATAACTCAATTTGAACGGCTCGAGTTTGCAAGCCCGTGCATAGACATCCATACAGTTTCTCTCGTTTTGTTCCGTGCTTGACCATAAACGGACCAAAGTACTCGACGCTAAAAAAGTGAAAGGACGCCG